AATTAAAAAAAAAAAAAAAAAAAAAAAAAAAAAAACACAAACAAACAAACGACAAGCTCATATATATCGTCAAATAGAACTGCCCGGTAAACCGTAGGCAGAGAGGGAGAAGAGGATATATAGTCAAACAGAGCTGCCTACGCTAAACCGTAGGCAGAGAGGGAGAAGAGGACAACAAAAGAGGGGCTGTGGCAAACTGTTTCGTCCTCGTTTCACCTCACCGACTCATCAGGAGGCTGAACCCTCAACAGTAGGTCGTCTGCTGGTCTCTTCCCCCGAATAGAACGCCCAGTCATTATAGCTATATTTGGGGCAACTTTCAGGCCAGATGCAGCAATGATGACCGGGCATTCCATTTGGGTGAAGATGGTATCCCTCTGCTACTCTCTTCCCCCAAATAGAACGCCCAGTCATTATAGCTTATAGCTGTATTTGAGGCAACTTTTTGTTGGTTGAGATCTAGAAATCCAACCTACCAGTCTTAAAAGGGTGGAAAAACAGTTAAAAACACCCAACTGTCATCATGGATGACATGGAACAGACTGTTGTCGGGAATGGGGATGCATCGTGCCACTCTCAAAGCGGTGAAAAGCCACCCAAGTACTGCCAGATCGCGGCCTGAGAGATCCACCAGGTCAATTGTCCTTGTGGCGCACTTTGTTGGTTTGAGCTTGCAAATCCCGCCTACCGGTCTCAAGAGGGTGAAAACACCCAGATGTCATCAGGTAAGAGTCTGTTGGTCGGAAATGACGATCCATCCTGCCAGTCCCAAAGTGATGAAAAGCCACCCAATTATGGACTGTGGCAATCGAAGCCTGTAATTCATATTCCCAATCCCATCATACATTCGTTATGGTAATAGATGCTTGTATTGCAGTTCGTGATTAGATCATCATTTCTTTCAATGAATCCACCACTGCAACAGGCTAACCACATTACCTGCGCATGCCCCTGTGCAAGGATGACATGCATTCAACAAAAGAAATGCATCTCTGTCTCTGTGTGTGTGTGTGTGTGTGTGCGTGTGTGTGTGTGTGTGTGTGCGTGTTTGTGTTTGCCTCGTCTCTAAGGCATTCTCTCTCTCTCTCTCTCATCCCCCCACCCGCGAACTGTAACTATCACCCTATCCCCCAATACCTTTTCACATCTGACGTCTCTCCTTGCCCTCTGAGCGGCAGCAAGGAAAACAGGCTAGCTTGCCAGAAGTTTTCTCTCAACCACAGCAGAGAGAGGATTTCCCTTCTGTGTATCGTTCAAATTTTAAAACATGTCTTTTGAAGGACCACCGGGTTTGTGGCGGCCAAAATTGCTGCTATTATACCCAAAAAATAATAATAATAATAGTAAAATAATAGTAATAATAAATTGAACACGTAAATCATTAGGTGTCACATCGGTCGCGTTCAGGAGGACAGCTGTCGTTAATAACGACCAGAGATTTGTCTTTTATAGGAACAGAGCTCAGACTGTCTGCAGGCAGCAGATCCAAGACGTGGGGACAACTAAGGATCCCAAGTTCACTATTGGTTGGAATTCGGGATCGGCCCGAAAGTGCAAACACTGGGGCGACGGAGGGACCGTAGTAGCGATTGATGCCAGTATAAAACCTAGGCTGCCAGCCGGGCACCCTGGTCACCCTGTTTGCCCCAGCGACCCGGCCGTGCAAAGGCCAAAGAAGGTCCCAGCATTAAACAAAAGAAGGGGAAAAAAAAAAAACAGCATTAAAAAAAGAAGGAAAAAAAACCAAAAAATATGAAAAAAAGCATTAAAAAAAAGACGGAAAAAAAACCAAAAAATATGGAAAAAAAAAACTATGTTATGCAGACAAATAAACTGAACAACTTTTGTCTCAGGGTCGCATCCAAATTCCTTACCAAATTTAAAACAAAAAAATACAGTCATTATTTTTATTTTTGCCCGGCCGGGCAAATGGTCCCGGGCCTCTCTGGTAGCCAAGAATACAACAATATATGTGTGGGAAAGAAAAACAAAAGAGGAACACCATAGCTTCATTAAATTCCAGATTTATAAATAAATGGGAATACGAGATTTAGAAATAAATGGGAATACGACAGAACGTACATGGTGAGGCTAAATCAACGGGACTGCGACCGATGGTGATGTGTACCTGTACACATCTCAGGGGATACAGATGTTCATTCAATTCGAGGGTGTATCTGGCAACCTTTAACGGCCAGATTCAGTTTTAAAAAAGAGTACAAGTACGAAAATGGTCATTCTATTTGTGCATGAACCTCGCACCCCTTAACCGCCAGATTCATTCAAGAAAATGAATGACGTGGAATAAGTTTCCCCCGCGCACCGGCGCACAGAAAACATAACCCATCGAAAGTAAAACAAGAAAAGAGGAAGATAAAGGACGCTATAATCATGCGTCTTTTTTTTTTTTTTTTTTAATGGTCAGAAAGAAGAGAGCGGGGCGAGGCTGTTTTTTTTCAAAAACAAGGTGAAAAAGAACAAAATGAAGGCCAAAAAAAGTAAAAAATCGGAAAAAAAAAGAAAAGACACGGCTAGAAAGAGAGACGACGATAAAATCCATGGAACACACCTTTCTCGGGCTTTAGGCGAAGATCAAGTGCACTGTATCTGTTCTGACTTTTCGCTAAGATCAAGTGCACTGTATCTGTTCTGACTTTTCGCTAAGATCAAGTGCACTGTATCTGTTCTGATCGGTTCTTCTTAAAAAATACAGGGCCTCGCTCCACTACTCTCGAAATGTGAAAACGAGACTGAATGAATCCTCCGCTAGAATATGGAAAGGTACATCCCCATATATTTTTTGGCTTTCGTGCACGTCGAGAGTAGTGGAGCGAGGCCCAAAAGGCGACGACGGCTTTTAAATATAATCCGTGAGCTGACCGGCTCCAGACAATTCAGAATGATTTTAATCAGGAAAAAAAAAACATGATTTTAATCTCCTCATCTGAAGGTATCTGGATTCGAACTATCTGATCAGTTATTTATTTATTAATATTTATTATTATTATAAAAAAAAACGAAACCCACTAGGCAAACATAGGATTATATCGAAATAAGGAAAAGGAGGGCCTCGTTCCACTACGCGCCAAATGCAAAAATTAATATTGTATGTATGATGCAGTAGAACGTGGGAAGATGCATTCACCATTTTTTCATTAGGCGAGCTGAGGGACGACGTTCTTGACGGCCGGCATCAAATACAATTTGGAGCCTACTCACACCGTCTTCCCCCGAATACGACACACCGTCATTATAACTGTATGTATTTGGGGTACCTTTCCGTCTAAATACAGCTGCTATAATTATAATGACCGAACGTTGTAATCGGGAGGAGGCAAGACTTTCCTGGATGTATCTGGACGCAATCACCGCCGGTCAAGGATGTATCTGACCGGCTTACGTCCAGAGAGATACCTTACAGACCGCGGGTGTTTGACACGACGACGGAGGAGGAGGAGGAGGGGGAAAAAAAGAGACAGCGGAAGTGATGACGTCAACACGGAAGGGACAAGATCCCTAGTCTCTGTCGAGCGCAGAAGAAAGAGACACAGAAAGAGAGAGAAATAGAAAGAGCGAAAGAGAGAGTAGGAGAGAGAGAGAGAGACGAAGAGATGATGACGTTGCTTGCGAGGGCGCAGAAAAAAAGCGAGCGAGAGAGAGAGAAAAAAAAAGAGGGAAAACGGAATTGACGATGAAACAGCATCGAAGGTTCACTATTTTAGGATGACGAGAGAGAAAAATTGGGGAGAAGGCGAGCCTTTCCAAAAGACAGGCGCACAGATCGACGAAAGCGAAATCCCGATGACAATGACGATAAACAAGCACAAGAGGCCATCGTCTTCCAACCGAACACAACGCACCGTCATCATGATTGTATCAGACCGAAATAACGACTTGTATACATTCATCATCAGTTTTGTCGTCTGCTCGGGATAAGTCGGTATCACTGGCGCTTACCGAGGGGCCGTTCAAAACCGCAGAGAAGAGCGAGAAGACCCGCGGCAAGGCAAGCCATCGCCGCGACAAACGGGAAAGATCCGATAGCAAGGCTTCCCATTTATGCCTGTCATCCTTGCGCACGGGCCATGGTAATCTCCTCTCTCTCTCTCTCTCTCTCTCTCTCTCTCTCTCTCTCTCCCCGCCGTGCCGTGCGTCTTCTCTCTCTTCTCCGCTGTTTCGAATGGCTTCCCATTTATGCGTCTCTCTCTCTCTCTCTCTCTCTCTCTCTCTCTCTCTCTCTCGCCGTGCCGTGCGTCTTCTCTCTCTGCTCTGCTGTTTCGAATGGCCCCTCGGTAAGCGGAGGAAGGCTTCCCATTTATGCGTCTCTCTCTCTCTCTCTCGCCGTGCCGTGCGTCTTCTCTCTCTGCTCTGCTGTTTCGAACGGCGCCTCGGTAAGCGCAAGGCTTCCCATTTAGGCGTGCCATCCTTCGAGCGTGCTAACTCAACGCTGTCGCTCTTTTTTAATTCAAAAAAAGGGGAATCAAACAAGTTTCGCATTTACAAACAAGTTTTGCATTTAAAAAAGGTGGAAAGAAAATCAAGCAAGCACAAAGCTCACAATCAGGTTTCTGACGCTGGGCATATGAAAAAAAGGGTGACCATGGCGATACGAAAGACACAGAAAATCGTGTGAGGGAATAGCGCGGAGATAATGAAGGTTGTAGGTAGGGAAGACGGCAGTGCGGGCGAAACACAGGCACACAGCCACGATGGCCATACACAGAGAGAGCAAAACATGTGAGGAGGAATAGGGGGATGAAAAAGGTGGTCGTCACGATGAGAAAGATTGCAGCGTGAGCAGAGCGCAAGTGGTAGGCAGGGAAGACGGCAGTGAGAGCGACAGACAGGTACGCAGCCACGATGGCCATACACAGAACAGAGGAAAACATGTGAGGAGGAGGAATAGGGGGTGAATAAGGGGTGAACAGGGGGTGAACAGGGGGTGAATAAGGGGTGAATAGGGGGTGAATAAGGGGTGAACAAGGGGGAGGCGACGATGAGAAAGATCGCAGCGCGTGAGCTGAACACAGCTATAGAACGATGATGGGATCGATAAACCTTCAACGACTGCGATACGACAGACAGAGAAAAAGCTATAGAACCTGTGAGAGAGTCGTGATTATCAAGGGGGAAGAAAAGCCTGCAACAACCGCGACGAGTACATGGGAATGGGACCACTAGGACACTGGGACCGCAACAGGGGATTGGCCGAGACGTGAAATCCTTTCACTTTACAGGGGACTTGGCTGGTACAGAAACGAGGTTTTAGTGCTAGTTCTGCAAAGAAGTGGTTTTAAAGATCTCCTGAGGCCATAAAGACAAGTACGGCAAGACGGGGATTTACAAAAAAAAAAAAAAAAAACATGTGGGAAATAAAGATCTCCTGAGGCCATAAAGACAAGTACGGCAAGATGGGGATTAACCAAAAATAAAAAATAAAAAATAAAAGAAAAACATGTGGGAAATGGCGGTGACCGTGAAGCGGGAAGAAACGACGCCTGCAACGAACCGCAAAAGACAAGTGCAGCGAGATAAGATGGGAATGGACAGAAAAACATGCGAAGCAATAGCGGGTCATTAAAAAGGTGGAAAGGGAGACTGCAGCGAGAGAGGAGGGCAGGTACAGCAAGATGGAGATAGAACGGAGAGAAAAACATGTGAGGAATAAGAGGGTATTATTATGAGAGTGGGGGAGGGAACACCCCAGCGACGCGAAAGAAAGGTGCAGCGTTCACGAGAGCGAGAGATGAATCCAAGCCAGCGCCGAAGGCAAGCCATCACATCATGCAGGGCCGGCAGAATAAAGGACAACGACGTCCGAGAGAGAGAGAGAAGGGAGAGAAGAGGGAGAAAAGCGAGAGAGGGAAAGAAAAGAGAGGGAGAAAGGAAGGGAGAGAGAGGGAGAAAAGCGAGGGAGGGAAAGAAAAGAGGGAGGAAAGGAGGCAGAGAGGGAAGAGAGAGAGGGAGAGAGAGAGAGGGAATCGTCAAGAAGGGGGCAAGACGGACGAAGTGATCGCAGCTGACAGAGCTGTGTTCAATTTCAAAAAGAAGAGGAAGAAAGAAAAAACGAGTGCTCGCGCAGAAGTGAAAAAGGGAGAATGACAAGAGCAATGATGGAACGAGAACCCAAGAATGACCAAGTTCCTCCAGAACTGAGTCCAAATTTGGCAAAAGAAAAAAAAAAGAATGCTCAGGCATAAGCATCAAAGGAGAACAAAGGCACAGGACGGGAGACGATGGAAAGAAAAATAGAAATCCCTTTCGACATGCATTTACCGAGTAAAAGGAAGCTAGTCGTAGTACGACGACGACAAAACGAGGGAACAGCAGCGGAGGGGACAAAAGATAAATGGATAGATAGATAGATAGATAGATAGATAGAAATAGATAGATAGATAGATATATATAGAGAGAGAGAGAGAGACAGATAGGTAGATAGATAGATATAAATAGATAGATAGATAGATATAGATAGAGAGAGAGAGAGACAGATAGGCAAATCGCCTTCAAAGGCAGGGACGATAGAACTAACAAAGAGAGAGTTGGGTGTAGTACGACTACGACAAAACGAAAGAGCAGCAGGGGACGGAAGAAAAAACAGATACGCAAATCGCCTTCAACGGGAGGGAAGATAGAAATAGCAAAAAGAAATCTGCGTGTCGTACGGCGACAACAAAACAAGGGAACAGCAGGGGAGGGAAGAACAGATAGATATCTGATAGATAGATAGATAGATAGATAGATAGATAGATAGATAGATAGATAGATAGATAGATAGGCAAATCGCCTGCAAGGGAAGGGAAGATAGATATATAGAGGGACGATAGAAATAACTAAAAGAGAGTTGGGTGGATAGATAAATAGATAGATAAATAAAAAGATAGATAAATAAAAAGATAGATAGAAAGATGGATGGATGCGCAAATCCTCGCCTCCGACATGGCTAATTGGCTAAATAAATAAACAAAAAGATTCCGTCGCCTGCGACATGGTCTAAACAAAGTAACAAAACCTACCTTCCTCCCCCGAATACAACGTACGGTCCTTATAGCTGTATCTAGACTGAAAGATGCCTGAAACACAGCTATAATGACCGCACGTTGTATTCAGGGGGAAGAAGGTAGGTCTAGTTAGGCGGCGGACGACATGAATATACATATACACATAGCGAGGAAACGAGGGAGGCAAGAAAGCAAAGAGGGGTTAAAGAGGGGTCAAAGAGGGGTCAAAGAGGGGTCAAAAGCACAAAACGGGGGGGTTAATGGTCACAAGAAGGGCACCCGTTGGATTGCAAGTAACGAAGATCTCACCCGATAGTTTCTTTTCAGGACGAAAAACTTGACAGTTCCAGTGACAGTCGTCCGGAAATTGGAGTTGACTACCCCATCTACCCCTATGGCTCGAGATAGTTCGGCGGCCTTGGGACCACCACCCCTTGTATTTAACTCCAGATTGACGTCCAATAGCTTGGTCGACTGCTTGCGCACACGCCCTTCAAGTACGCTCCCTAGTGCTAACTGCTGGTCCTCGCTGAATGTCAAATTGCCTGTCACATTGTTGTACGTGAAATCGAATCTGTTCGGATTACGGATGCTGGCCGTGACGACGACCAGCCCTGACATTCCCAATGTCTGGGGCGTGGCCCCCGGTTCCACAAGCACCTTCGTCAAAGTCGCCTTGGCCACCTTAAACACTATCTGTTGAGGCCTGTAGAGGAAGTAAAAGATGAGAACCAGGATGCCTAACACAACCAAGAGGATAACAAGAACGACCAAAAAGCAAAGCAAATAGGGATGTCGGGAGCGGAAAGATCGATCTTCGTCCATGAAAGAAGGAGGAGGAGCATTCTTGAAAGGAGCAGGTCTCATAACAGGTTGATGATGTGGATGATGTTGATGATGAGGAGAGGGAGTGAGCGGAGCACCAGCAGGAGGGATAGTAATCGCTGTAGAATGTCGATTGACCAAAGACACTACGCCATTTTTCAATGGCTTAATATTGCCGGCAATCTGTTCGGGGGGAGGAGCTTCCGCACCCATCTTGGTGGGGACCTTATATCACTTTCGATGATGAAAACGGAGAATATAACCTTTTTTAGTAGGAAAAACGCAAGTATATTTATTAATTAACAATAAATAATTAATAAATAGAATAACAGAGAATCCGCCTCCGTGGCACACAAAACGCCTTGTCACTTTACTTTACCTTCTTCCTATCGTCGACCATCTACTGGCTCCCTCCCTCCTCTCCCTGTTCTCCCTGCTTCGCCCCACGTTATTAGGATCCTTCACTCCATCTACAACTCTCTCCTTCCTCCTCCTCCTCCTCCTCCTCTACTCCCTTTTCTCCCTCCTCTCCTCAGCACCGAATTCATCCGCCTCTCTCTCTCTCTCTCTCTCTCTCTCTCTCTCTCTCTCTCTCTCTCTCTCTATTTCAGGACACGCTCCCGCTACAAAGAATCAATCAAAAACGACCAATGACAGGCATGGACATCTTCCTCAGAACACGGGAAACCAGGAAAGTTGGAAGTCGAACGAGATACACCACGCGCCGGGCTCATGCGTCCGGAGAGCCCCCAGCTCCTCCCTCTTCAGCCGTCGAATCCACAGATCAGAAAGACACTGCGCGCCGAGCTGTGCCACTTCTGTCACGGCTGCGCCCGCACGTTTAGAAACCTTATCCCTGCATGATGATTGGCGCCAACGCATTCACCCCTATAGAGTTAAGTGCCAGTTCCCTTCTCAGCTGCCAGTATGTGCGTACCTGTGCCTGTCACCTCCCTCCTCTCGCTCTCTCTCTCTTCTCACTCTCCTCGTCAAGCATCGTTCATAACAACGCCAAGATTGGAAAGAACGGCGCCTCGGCTCCTCACTCTCCTCAGCCAAACTGGTTAGAAGAAGGGACCTTAACAGATTTTACATGAAGCTCTCAGCTTCAACAACCAGCGAAAACCGACCCCAGCTGGTGACAGGAGTCCCTTCCAAGGGATTCTCCTTCCTATGGATTCTGGAAACCTGTGTTCGCGTTAAGCCGGGCACCGAGAAGGAGAGAAAGGGCGTGGGAGAGAGAGAGAGAGAGAGTAGGGGGAATAGAGGAGAGGAAGACTACCTTAGTGCTGAACGGATAGAAGAGGGAATATGGCGAGAACGAAAATGGTCGGCAAGCTCTTATGTGCTCCCGTGGTCGAATAAGCGATGCGAGACACAGAGGACGAGGGAGAGAGAGGAGAACGAAGACAGAACAGAATAGAACAACAGAACAGAATAGAACAACAGAACAGAACGAAATGGGTGGTAAGTGTGTGGGCAGGCAAGAAACCTCCCCGCTTCACCAGCTGTTGCAGTATTAACACGAGACAAGAAGAGTTGGAAACGCTGCTGAGAAAAGTCAGGAGGGAGCGAGCGAGCGAGCGAGCGAGAGAGAGAGAGAGAGAGAGAGAGAGAGAGCGAGGAAGAGGGAATTGAAAAACAGAGGGGGAAAAAAAAACAGACACGAAAACAGAGAAAGGAAAACAGAGAAAAACACAGAAGAAAACAGGGAGTCAACCCGCAAGCAGCGGAGGAAATTGCGGAGAAACCGCAGCGACTGTTCACCGCTAAATGCGCCTTGCGGCAGTCAGCAGACAGGCGGTGTAATCAACGCCCTCAAGCCTCCCCCTGCCCGCACCCCTCCGCCCGCCAACAACTGTTCGTTGTCCGTCACTCTCTTCAGTCGTCTTCCTCTCCTCCCTCTCTCTTCACTCCCTCCCTTTCCAACCCTCCCTCGCCCTCTCTCTCTCTCTCTCTCTCTCTCTCTCTCGGTCGGCCGCCCGCTCTCCCGCTGTACAGTATGAAGCACAGCTGTAACCGCAGCTAGCAATGCTGCGACTGGTTCTACCGAGTAACCCTACGATAGCAGATAGGTAACGAAATTACCCTCCCGTTTTATCAAGCCCAGCACCCTTCGCCCGATTGAGCCTTCTCCGCCGTACGGAGGACTTCCGTACACGAATGCGACCGCAAATGCCGTCAATTGCACTCAAGAGAGCCTATTTCTTGTTCATAACACCTTCATAAAATCAATCCAGTAATAATGAATATACTGGTCCGCAATAGAATCGCCGCCCGTGCACTGAAAGAACCACTTCCTTCCCATGTTTGCCCATACTCACGCCCGTCCTCTCTCTCTCTCTCTCTCTCTCTCTCTCTCTCTCTCTGTGTGTGTGTGTGTGTGTGTGTGTGTGTGTGTNTCTCTCTCTCTCTCTCTCTCTCTCTCTGTGTGTGTGTGTGTGTGTGTGTGTGTGTGTGTTCTCTCTCTCTCTCTCTCTCTCTCTCTCTCTCTCTCTCTCTCTCTCTGTGTGTGTGTGTGTGTGTGTGTGTGTGTGTGTTTTCGCGCGGTGGTTCTGCGTGTTTACGGTGCGAGTGCCATTAACCCGAGCTAGGAAGACCCGCCAAGCATGGTAAGACATAACCTAGGCCCTATTGCGATACGTGGGAGGCGGCCAAGACAGAGAATGTCGAGAAGGAGGGGGAGGAGGGGATGTGGTGGCAAATCACCTCGCATCCATTGACAGCAGTGGCGAATAACTTGTGTGATCTGTCGGTTTGCGCGTCAGTCCCAACGACAGCCTGGCACTCTTGCCTTTCTATTTCTCTCGTGTCTATATATGTCCCTCCACGCCGTCTCCCGGCCGCCTCTTCCACCTCCCCGGTCCCTCCTCCCTTTCCTGCGCACTACGACATTCTACCCTGCATCATTACCAGGTCCATCCTCTCGACCATTCTGCTCCTCTCATCTTGATCCTCCCTACCTTTTCTTCGCCCTTCGGCGCACTACTCGCCATCCGCCAACATTTTGATTGCATGTGGACATCATTTTGTCCCGATGCATTCCACATCTTGGCGGATGGCGAGTAGTGTAGTGTAACCAGGGCCTGCGCCTCTCACCGCGGCGGGAGACTCGCTTCCTCTCGGCTGTCGATCCCGCCACGGGCCTCGCATGACACATTTTGTCATTATTCATATCACTCCCTGCTTGTGGCCAACAACAATTGAAATGTGATCACAAAAAAAAAAAAAAAAAAAAGAATTGAAATCCGAGCATCATCAGCTGTGCTGCACCGGGACCCCGCTCACCGCCGCGCTCAGCCACACTACGATAGGTCCCAGTTGCACGCATTAAGAGATACTGACCGTAGATAGCAAAGATCAACGGCCAGAATCTCCTAATTTGCGCAAGTGGTACCTTGCCCCCGGGCTCCCCGCGATTCTCTTTTCGGCCTCCCTCTTGCTACCCCGCTCTTGCCTCTTACCTAAAAAACGGGGATTCCCGCCCCATCACCATGTTTTTTTTTGCCCCTCGAATGGAAAGTATAACCCGATCCGATCTGACCCGACCCGATCCGACCCGGCCCGACCCGGCCCGACCCGACCCGTCGAGCCGCGGTCACGTCTCCACACCTCCACACACACACACGAGGCAGGAAATGAACCTTCCCGCACACCTCACCCCCGAGTGTGAAACGGACGAGAATTGTGACGGGTGTATCTTTTCCACGTCCTGTGCACAAGATTCTCCGTTTTACACATTTGAGTTAGAAAAAGGACATCGCCACACCACTCTTGAAATGTGCAAAATGAGAATGAACTTCCCTCTAGAACACGGCCAAATGCACCCGCCAAATTTTTGTCTTTTTCACATTTCAAGAGTGGTGTGTCGAGGCCCAAAGCGCTGTGCGGGGGACACATGTAAGGGCATACTCACACCACGACACTTCTACGTACTTCTGGACATAATTGTGACCACATACAGCCCCGTATGTCCGTAAATGCGGTCAGATACATTTGCCATACCGCTACTGTGAGCACGCCCCGAGTTCGAATCGAAAAAGGGCCCCTGACTGACCCTCTCTCCGCGTATACACCGGACATAAATATATAATAGATTTTATTTTGTTTTCCGGACATAAATATGGTCCTGGCTGCGCGGTGAACACATGATCGTTTCTTTTTTTTTTCTTTTTTTTTGGAAAGCTTGAAACAATGATGGTTGGGTGCAGGGTATGGAACGTAGAAGGCAATACCAGGACACTCCGTTATTGTAGCCATAGGAGGCAGGCAGAAGGTTTTCTCAGGCTGAGCCTAAGGCTATTTCTATCTTCTATCTATCTAACTACTAAAGGACGGATAGGGCCCCGGACGTCGGTTCTCATGGGCCCAGGAGAAATGAGGCCCGGACGGCGTCGGGACGGGACAGTCTGTGCGCAACGTTTCCTGCAGGTTGGTGCACATTTATGGACGTCGATTTTCCCAGGGCGCGGGTTCGAAGGCCAACGAAATCGGCCACGCGTTTAGAGACGACGGCCCCTTGCGAGGGTTTTTTTTTAATCCGCCGTGGCCGGGTTCGAGCTTTGAACTTAGCCTTTTTTTTTTCGGCCTGCCCGGGTTCGCGCGTTTGTGCTTTTCGCGGCGCTTTGTTTCGCGCGTTTTGTCGGTGCGGGTTTGTTTTGCCCGTCTTTGATGTTTGAGAGAGAGAGAGAGAGAGAGAGAGAGAGAGAGAGAGAGAGAGAGAGAGAGAGAGA